ATTTTTTATCCTCGAAGAGTTCACACTAGTCAAGGGCAGAAAAAAAATTCAAAGAGAAGAGAGAAAAGGAAAACGGAGAAAATGAAAACGGTCTTAATTCGTTTTCAGAAAAAGACAAAAACGTTTTTATTTTTAATTTTTAGAAAATTATTACACCAAACGCGTTTTATCTGTCCGTTTTCATTTTTTATCCTCAAAAAACATTTTTAAAAACGAAAACAAACGGGCACATAACTTTTATCCAGTCTGAATACATGGGCGGGGTCCTTTAGATGATTTCTGATTTATGATCATTCCAATTTCCAAGTTTGTGACAAACCAACTTGTAAAATGTGAAAAGAATGGAATAGATCGAGGAATATAAGGATCCGATTGCATATTCTTTAGTAGTATAGCAGTGTTCTTTTTTTTTTGGGTAGAATAATAGCAGTGTAGTTATACAATAGAAACAAATCAAACAGCGTGCTGATCTACCTACTATGCTATTCAACTAATAAATGACATATTTAGAAAAAATAAATAAAAAGGAAATGGACAAACAAAATGTCGTTTCCTTTCACTGTTAGCCAGGGACATCATGTAAACGACGTGGTCTTTTATTTTGTAGGAAAAAGAGTGTTAAGTGTTCATGAGTATCAGTCACTTTATCGTTTTTTGTATACCAAGTAAGGGACGACATGTCGTTTTAGGTGTGGATAAAAAAAGCGACATGTCGTTTTATGTGTGAACAAAAATGAATGGCCATTTCCTATTTTATGTTGTTGTTGTTGTGTTTTTTAAATCAAGCAATAAACGACATATAGGTTATAGATAGGATGTTCTCCTGATAAACGACATATCATATTATTCGAGTACGATTTTATATATCATGTATATCTACTTTTTTGTTTTGCGATAACCGTTGACGTTCATCTCTTGTTGAACGAAAAAGTGACAGATCTGTTTTAGGCCACGTCTTCTATTCTTCTTTTAGATTTTGCATGTCGAGCAAATGAGATATGGGTTTAGCCCAGAATTTGAAAAAAGTGTGCTTTGTACGGCATCTCCTTTTCTGTTCGGAAAGAAACTTTTTTTTTTTTTTTAAGAGAAAGTAACGTGTAAATTTTAAATTTTATGAAAAAAAAAGTAACGTGTTTTTATTTTATTTTATTTTTTTTACATAGTTCTTGTTCAACAATTAACGACATGTCATTTTTATTATAGGTTAAAACGACATAACATTCATTTTCAATATTTTTTATTAGTTGAACGTAAATCGGTTGGTAGCAGCATTAGCATTAACATTGTTTTCTTCACTCTCTATCTACTTATCTGAGGGAGTTATATATGTGTATATGTTTATATAATATATCAATCACACGGACATATTCCTGTATATATTGATTAAGAAATTTAGGTCTCGTTCATTTCACCGATTCGAGTTTAGAATTTAAATTTTGTTACAGTAAAAAATTCTTAAAAATAATCACATTTAATTTTTTTATTACAATCTAAAATTTTCACATAAAATCACATCTCAATTTAAATTAAAATTTTAACAAACTAAATAAGCTTTCAGTATAAGTCCAGGCGCACCGTGCAGTTTGAGCGTTAATGGTGCGTTCCAAGAAGGCATATTGGAGTTTACTAATCTCATTGCGCTCAATTAATATCATGCTTAGATCACGCCTACCAGTCAACAAAGGCTGGCTGCAAAAGGAGCAACAAAAAATATATAATGATTGGATATGTATGGCATGATCCTTCACCTCTTTTCAACGCTAAATGATTACCAAACACTATCGGACCAAGATTAAAGTAAATCTTAGTTAACTACAAGGCTCAAAATTAATAAAAGGAAAAAACAAAAAACAAAAACAAAAAAAACGTCATTGTGCTATTGTAGTCTTGAAAATGAAATGATGAAGAGAATTCCACCTTAAAGTCTTCCAATTTAAAAGTGGGTGACTACGTGTTGGTGTTAGGTAGCGCAGTACATATTCCTTTTGCAATTCCTTTTAAAATTACAAGCCATTTTAGACCGCACACGTCAAAGTTCAATAAATTGAGGGAGATTTTTGGAGTTGCTGGAGTCTCGAAACGGCTAATATCTACAGCCACGCATTCCTATACAAGTCCAATACAGTTTTATCTGACCCTTCTCTGGTCACAAGCTTTTTTGTTTGTTTTTGGCTCTCATTCCATTTTTCTTTTTCTTTTTTCCTTTTTGGGTACGTACGTAATTATAGCTTTGAGTAGTAGGATATCACACATGTTTGGAGAATTTTTGTAACAGAGTATGAAAAGAAAATTAAAAGTTGTTTAGTTGCAGGATTTAAATTATAATTTGAATTATAATTCATGATTTATTATAATATTTTTTCTTATAAAAAATATACATAAATTAAAAATAATTTAAATTACGTGATTCTAATCTATAAACTAAATTAAACACGATTTTAAACCCGTCTCCTAACAAAACTCTATAAAAATATGACTGGTTTTATAATTATTGGTAGATTTCTATACGGTACATCTGAATATATCAGTTAGCTGGATGGCAGATGCGCCAACTTTTTCTAACGCCATCTATCTGGTACTAAAAAGTTGAAAAAGGAAACGTATAAATTGACTCAAAACTCCTTACATATAACTTTTCGCCAAAGCACCATGCTCCAAACACGTGCCACTATTCTAATTTTAGTGGATGACAAAAATATGGTTGTCCAATGGAATTGTATGTTCATTAACTTGTACAGAACCCAAAATAGATTTTACTTTTCCTTTTTATTTGGAAGTTAGTTCTGAGCAGAAAGAACAAACTATGCATGTGTTACATGTTGATGCCAAGAATTGAATTGGTGCACAAAGCACTGTTTTGCTTCTTATTGGAGGTTAAATTTGAATAGTCTCTCACCTACCTCCTAAGATATTTTGGCAAGCCCTGTTGATCGTTGTATTTGAAAAACTGTTTTGATGTAGTGACAAAGAAGTGTATTTGCTGTAATTAGAAGTGTGGTTGCTTTGTTTTTGTTTTTGTTTTTGTTTTGAATGCTGATTATGAATCGAGCAAAAAAGGAGGTGAGATAAAATGATAAATGGAATGATCTTGTAGGCACCATTTTAACTGTAACTAACATCTTCACAAACAAAATTGGGAATAACAGGATCGAGGAAACATCTTGCTTTTGTTTGGCTAAAACGTTCTTCTAAATGGATGTGATTCCTTTAGGCAAAGACATTTGTCTTTCAAAGCAAGTATAAATCTTTTCACATATAAGGTTCGCTCTAACATGGTAAGTTTTTTTTCACCATTTGATTATTTTGATAGCCTGATCTATAAGTGATAATACTTTTATAATTCTCACTAATTATGCCGTTAAAATTTAATTAAACATCTAATAAGATCTTGCTCTAGTGGGGCAAAGCAATGTGTTATCGTAGAATTTTTCAAATTGTTTTTTCTTTTTAGATTAAAAAAGAACCCTGCTTGACAAAGGGTGCATTTTGCATATTCACTAACTTTTCATGTCAATAGAAATGGGAAGTATAGAATGAGATCAGAAAGCTATGAATCATTTTTGCTTAATTAAGGCTGTAAAGGCTATGTTATGTTTGGTAGCTCCAAAGTAGGACGGACATCTAAAACACAACCAACACATATAGAAGTTGCAAAAGAATGAGATTATAAATCATGATTTCTTAAACCATATATTGCTTCCTTTAAGGGCTCAAACTTGATCATCCAATCTAAGCATGACTATTAGATATTGGAAACAAAAAGGCTTTAATTATATGTATCTCCAAGTAGCATAAATTGATGATCTAAGCGAGTCTTCCATGATCCAATTTCCCCTACTAATTATAAATTTACAATAAAAGACAGACACTTAGACAACGAAAGAGATGGGCAAGGATGGCGTGGACATATTTCAATAAAATAAAATAAAAAGGATGGCGTGGACAGACCTAACTCCCAACCATAATCCGACTCCATCATGCCAAAATTAATACCACTAATCAAAATCCACCTATAAATGCATTGTTGGACTTTTTAAGAAACCAAAAACAAATAAATTTTTGTCCCTACTCTTTCCTTTTCCATTAATCACTAAAAACATTTGTTACCTTGTTTTTCGCTTATAGACACGAATATAAATGTAGGCCTAGTTTATTTTATCAATTCGAGTTTTTAATTCTAATTTTACTATAGTTAAAAACTCTTATAAAAAGTCACATTTAACTTTTTCTGCTACAGTTAAAAGCACTCACATAAAATCATATCTCAACTTGAATTAAAAACTCAAATCGACGCACTGAACGGGGTTGTAAATGTAAAAAAAAATTTACAGAGTAAGGTATGAAGAAAAGCTCTCTCATATCACATCAAAGTTATATTAAATTAAAAAATATAACAATCTAATAACGTCTATTTATTAATATGATATTTTTCATAAATATCCTAATACGTAAATTCATACTATTTGTTGAGAGTAAATCAATTTATATTTTTGTGTAACAATAAGTATGATGACAAGTGTATGAGAAAAAAACAAGAAGTATGACAATTTTGAAGGCAGCATTTATATATTGACCATCAAAATCGTGAGGGGAAGGGTTGGTGGACTACAGCACCCAACTCATAGTCAAGGCAAGGCCACAAACTTGGTTCCTTCATTATGTTATCAAAAGATAATGAAATGTTATCAAAAAGGATAAAAGAAAAATCAAAAGATACTGAAAATGATTACCATAAGGATAAAAAAATAAAAAATTAGATTACCCAAAATGGGAATTTAGGAAGAAAGCGAGTGGAAGTATGCTTTTAACGACAAAAAATAAAAAATAAAAATTTTGGCAATTACTAATTAGACCTCCTCTCCTCCCATGTTCTTTGAACAGTTTTTTTTTTTTTTTAAGAGAGAAAGGGACAAAATGAAGAGAGAGAGAGTGGGGTAGATGGCTGCTACTCCTAAAACTACAAACAGAAGCAAAAAAAAAAAAAAAAAAAAAAAAAAAAAAAAAAAAAAAAAAAGAGAGGACGGGGGTGGTGTGGAAGGAAGGAAGGGGGAAGGTGGTGGCACGTGCAAATCTCATTAAAGCCGTTAAAAACTTGGTCTTCTCTTATAACCAAAACTCACACCTACTTCTCTGCAATTCCTTAATAACTAAATAGAGCTTTCCCCTAAGATTTGTGTGCATGATCACATTCACGCTCTTCTCTTCCGGCTTTTGACTCGAAATGATTCATACCCACAATACCAGTTTGAAGGAATTCGATTAAGAAAGCCTTCTTAGATTTCAATTCCTTTTTTTTTAGATATATCTTCTTATCTCAAGGTATGTGACCCATTTCTAATTATTGGTCAAAGTCTTGTTTCTGCAATTCTATTGTGGGTAGTTTTGTTTAACTTCTGTTTTGGTGATTTGGGCATTTGTTTTTCTTGGATGTTAAGCGTTTCTCATAGCTTAGGGAACTTGTCTACTCATTGTTTGTATACTCATTGTTTGTACTAGTTTTGCACTTCTGAGTAGGATTGGAAATTCCTTTCTTTTATTTTCTTTTTTTGTAATCACCTTTTTTTTTTTGTTGTAAAGTTTTTATGATGATGGTGTAAACGGTACGTTTTGTTGATGCTGCTTTTGGGCAGTGGTGCCTTTTTCGTTGCTAACGATGCTTGTGTGATATTTTGCATCTGAGAACTTCACCTTGATGCTGCGTTTGGTTGTACTTTTATCAAAATTTGATTGAGAAGGAACTATATATATATATATATATATATATTAACAAGTTACACTTCTTTCCCCTGCTCCGGTAGTGATCACTAGAAAAGGTTTATGGTTAAGGAAGAGTTTATGACGGCATGGAATTATATTTTTGTGTCAACTATTATTATGTGAAACCAAACGCAACCTTAGTTCAATATTACAGCAACTTTTGTGTACTTATATGTGCAGCAGAAGTTTGTTGAAAAGTAGAATGAGTGAGGACCAAAAATTCTCCTCTCTCTCGTTCACTATTTAATCCCAGAGCTGTTGATCAAGCAATTCTTACATTGCAGTATTATTTTAGAAGCCCAAAAGAATTCGGCAATGGCTGGCATCGGGCATGGAAACGGATACATAAATGGGATAGCTTCGATCAGGCATCCTGCTGCTATATCTGAAGTTGATGAATTCTGCAATGCTCTTGGTGGCGAGAAGCCAATCCATAGTATTTTGATCGCAAACAATGGTATGGCAGCCGTAAAGTTTATGCGTAGTGTGAGAACGTGGGCTTATGAGACGTTTGGCACGGAGAAGGCAATCTTGTTGGTGGCCATGGCCACATCAGAGGACATGAGAATCAATGCGGAACACATTAGAATTGCTGATCAGTTTGTTGAAGTTCCTGGTGGGACTAACAATAATAATTATGCCAACGTACAGCTCATTGTTGAGGTGTGTTTACTAATATTTACACCTTGTACTTTCATGTTCTTCCTTTATTTCTGTCCAACGTGCAACTATATGGTTTACAACTGCAACTTTTTAGTCAAAATGAGAAGGAATGATTAGAAATATATTCCTAGTAAATTTTATAACAAATACGAAATCCTAGTATGAGAACCTATCAACCTAACATTATTAATTTTTCCGAGCATAATGACAAAATTGATTCCTGAAAATGGCAGGCATATCTTTACTGTCCTGATATGACTGACAATAGGTATCTTGTTTTAGCTCTATTCAAAGTCTGGTGGTTGTTAATTCGATTATGTACCATGACATTGTATTGTCCTTGTATCTCTTATTAGAATGCTGTTATTTGTTATCCAGATGGCAGAGATAACACATGTTGATGCAGTTTGGCCTGGTTGGGGCCATGCATCCGAGAACCCCGAGCTTCCTGATGCACTAAATGCAAGAGGAATAGTATTCTTAGGGCCGCCAGCTACGTCTATGGCTGCATTAGGAGATAAAATTGGTTCATCATTAATTGCTCAAGCAGCAGAAGTTCCCACCCTTCCATGGAGTGGCTCTCATGTAAGATTTGGTTCTAAAAAATAATGCCTGATTTTTCTTTTGATTTCTTTGGTGGGGCCATTCTGCATAAAACATTCTTACAATTTTAATCTTCCAGGTATTTCTGATAAAAAAAGATTTTAATCTTCCAGGTGAAAATTCCTCCAGAAAGTTGCGTTACAATCCCAGATGAAATATACAGGGAAGCATGTGTTTATACAACAGAAGAAGCAATTGCTAGTTGTCAAGTTGTTGGTTACCCTGCAATGATCAAGGCATCATGGGGTGGCGGCGGTAAAGGCATAAGAAAGGTTTGTTTTCTGCAGATGAATGTTGCACTTCTCTGGCAATTTATTTCTCAAACTAAACTTATCTAAAAAGCTAGGTTTAGTTAATCATGTTAAACATACTCCCATTTGAACTTTTCAGGTCCACAATGATGACGAAGTTAGGGCCCTGTTCAAGCAAGTTCAGGGTGAAGTTCCTGGTTCTCCAATATTTATAATGAAGGTCGCATCCCAGGTTGGGCCTCGCTGCATTTTCTGGATGATAAAACTTCTGGTGTTTATCTTTCTTATGCCATTTTGATAATTGACCTCTTATTTTCTTCAATATTCTTCTGTAGAGCCGACATCTCGAAGTCCAGTTGTTATGTGATCAATATGGAAATGTTGCAGCTTTGCATAGTCGTGATTGTAGTATTCAAAGACGACATCAGAAGGTATGCTCTTTTTTGAAGTGGGAAACTTGCATGGCGTGTTTTGGGAAACGACATTTCCTATCTTTATCTTTGCTATTATAGCTTCAAGGGCTATTGGGTACTGTTTTTTTTGGGCTCATTTTTGTATTTTCTTTTTCTGAAACTTGTAAGAGCATTGTATTTTCTACCAGAGGTATTTTGACTTGAGGATCTGATCTGCTCATCTATATTGTACAGATTATTGAAGAGGGTCCAATAACTGTAGCTCCTCTAGAGACGGTGAAAAAGTTGGAGCAGGCTGCTCGAAGGTTGGCTAAATGTGTTAACTATGTTGGAGCAGCTACTGTTGAGTATCTATACAGTATGGATACTGGCGACTACTATTTCTTAGAGCTCAACCCTCGATTACAGGTACACTAGAGTGACTTTCAAACTTAAAGTTTGTCCATGTATCCCTCAGTTTAGTTATTACTTGTTGAAATTGTAAGATAACCTTTGTCGAGTATGTCTCTGATCTTCTATTGTCAATCAAAGAAAAATGTGCTTGTCACATGTTGCTTTCCGAAACCTAGCAGTTTAGCTTTTTCTGCAACTTTTAAAAAGGAATAAGTAGCATATATAGTTTTGAGATAAAGGCAGCAACTAGCTGTGTTGGCTTCCATTGTTGGATATGATAGTATTTCATTTCTCTGACTAGCTATTTGTTGGGTGCAATGCAACTAAATGTTCTTGAATGAATTTGATCTAGGTGGAGCACCCTGTTACTGAGTGGATTGCTGAAGTAAATCTTCCAGCAGCCCAGGTTGCAGTTGGGATGGGCATCCCTCTCTGGCAAATTCCTGGTATATCTTGGCAAAATTATTGGCTTTATTTTTATTTTTATTTTTATTTTTTTATACACTATAAATTTTGGAATCTTATATTCTTTCTTAATTGACTGATTCAAACAGAAATAAGACGGTTTTATGGAAAGGAACATGGTGCTGGATATGATTCTTGGAGAAAGACCTCAATTCTTGCCACCCCATTCGATTTTGACAAGGCAGAATCTACTAGGCCAAAAGGTCATTGTGTTGCTGTGCGTGTAACAAGTGAGGACCCAGATGACGGTTTCAAACCTACTAGTGGGAAAGTACAGGTTAGTTATTCATATTCATCTACACTTTCTCTTGTCTTTTATCCTTTATTTATTTATTTATTTTTCAAGAAAAAGAGGAATTATTGTGAACTTATGTTGAATTACATCACCCATATACAGGAGTTGAGTTTTAAAAGCAAGCCAAATGTTTGGGCATACTTCTCTGTTAAGGTAACTCTAAATTGATTTTTAGTATTAAAGTCAAATTCTCTCTCCTAAAAGAAAGGAAAAAGAAAAGCCTAATACTTTGAATTCTTCAAATAAATTCTAATTACCATTTTGATTTGCAGTCTGGAGGAGGGATTCATGAATTCTCAGATTCTCAGTTCGGTGAGTGTTAACTACTGGAGCTCCTGCTAGTTCTTTGAATCTTTTAGCTGTCTAAATGTTATGACTACTTGTTGAAATCACCTTTGTGTAAGTACGTGCCTCTAAGTCTTTTATCGTTCTTCAGGACATGTTTTTGCATTTGGCGAGTCTAGAGCTCTGGCTATTGCAAATATGGTTCTTGGGCTGAAGGAAATTCAAATTCGAGGAGAAATCCGTACCAACGTTGACTACACAATTGATCTCTTACATGTAATATCCCCACTGATTCACAATACATTTTCTTTTAGTAAATGAAAATAAGAAAAAGAGTTGCAAGAACCCAACTAATACAAAAACAAATGTTAATGCAGGCTGTAGACTACAGAGAAAACAAAATCCATACTGGTTGGTTGGACAGCAGAATAGCCATGCGAGTGAGAGCAGAAAGGCCACCTTGGTATTTGTCAGTTGTTGCGGGGGCTTTATATGTAAGCAAATATTCCATCATAATTAGATGATCTTTCCATGTTTTATGTTTAAAGTCACCTGACTTTTTTTTTTTTTTTTTTGTAATGTCATTTCAGAAAGCGTCTGCTAGTAGCGCAGCAATGGTTTCGGATTATGTGGGTTATCTCGAAAAGGGGCAAATACCACCCAAGGTATTGTAGAACAAAACTCTGCACATAGATACAAGCTCATATATGTGTATATTATTTTCTCAAATTTTTCAACCTTGATTGCAGCACATATCCCTCGTCCACTCACAAGTGTCCTTGAACATTGAAGGAAGCAAATACACGGTATGTACTTAAATGATAGCAGTAAGCTATAAAACTTTTATTCTGAACTTGTCCAAGATTTTTGGGGATTCGCCATCGTCATGTTTATTGACTGACATACATTGCCAAAAATGTGGAAACCTGTTCCTAGATTGACGTGGTACGTGGGGGACCGGGAAGCTATAGATTGAGGATGAATGAGTCAGAGATTGAAGCTGAGATACATACCTTACGTGATGGAGGTTTACTGATGCAGGCAAGCACATTCTTTCAACGGAACTTCATTTGTCACTCGACTTTTACTTGTATATTACACTTCCTATTTGTTCTAGGACTGTTGAATGTCGGTATGAAGGATTGGACTTCTTCTTCTTCTTCCTTTTATTTTTATATTAAATTTAAATATCGGTCTTGCTATGAAGAAACAAATGGATTGTGATGTTAGATTGCTGTTCATTTTTCTCACCTTATTGCAATTAGCACTAGTAGGCCAAGGAGTTACTTTAGTACGGAGTCCAATTTTGTGTGCGTTTACCATAGCGAAGTTAATTCAGTCGGGTTGAAAATAAAGCTAGTCTTTATGCGTCCTACATTTTTAAGATTGTAACGGAAGTATATTTATCTGTTTTTTACAGTTGGATGGAAATAGTCACGTGATATATGCAGAGGAAGAAGCAGCTGGAACTCGCCTTCTCATTGATGGAAGGACATGCTTGCTTCAGGTGCCCCAGTTGACCTCTGCCACACCTTGTTTTTCCCTTTTATTTTCCTTTAAAAATCATCCGCTCGGCAGGATGGCACTAATTGTAAACCCTTTTTGCATGTAGAATGACCACGATCCATCTAAGCTTGTAGCAGAGACGCCATGCAAACTGCTTAGGTATTTGGTTTCTGATGGTTCTCATGTTGATGCTGACACACCATACGCTGAGGTTGAGGTTATGAAGATGTGTATGCCTCTACTTTCACCTGCTTCTGGAGTTATCCAATTTAGAATGTCCGAAGGTCAAGCTATGCAGGTAAATTATTTTCCAAATAGCATGTGTAGTTATTCATATTTTCATAAATGTTTAATGGTCATAATTTTTGTAGGCTGGTGAACTTATAGCAAGGCTCGATTTAGATGACCCTTCAGCTGTAAGAAAGGCAGAACCTTTCAATGGGAGCTTCCCTATCTTGGGGCTTCCAACTGCCATTTCCGGTAAAGTTCATCAGAAATGTGCTGCAAGTATAAATGCGACCCGGATGATTCTTGCAGGTTATGAGCATAACATTGATGAAGTGAGTATTCTATTTCTGTTTTTCCGCCATGAAGAATTAAGTATGAACTTGGAATGCTATTTTAAACTGCAAGCTATCGACATTAATAACTTAGTAGGGGTGGCACAACCTTGTAAACAATGAAATACGACTCTGGTTTTGGTAGATAATAATACCATCTCAAGTTTTGAATTAAACTTGTCTTATCAAAGAGCTTGACATGAAATCCGTCCTCAGGTAGTTCAAAACTTGCTCAATTGCCTTGATAGTCCTGAACTCCCTTTCCTTCAATGGCAAGAGTGCTTGTCTGTTCTTGCTACCCGTCTTCCCAAAGATCTAAAGAATGAGGTAAATTAAATGCACCAGCCCATCTTGATTCTATGCTTGAATAGTGGCTTGGTATTCATATTTCATCCTATGGTTTAATTTGATTAGTTGGAATCAAAATATAAGGAGTTCGAGGCAATTTCAAGCTCTCCAAATGTTGACTTCCCTGCCAAACTATTGCGGGGTATCCTTGAAGTAAGTGCATTTATTTCTCATTTGAGCTCAGTTTTTTCTCTTGTTTTTGTTTTTTGTTTTTTGTTTTTTTTTGGTTTTTTTTCCCTAAAGTAAAAAATGAGCATTTTTTTTTTTGGTAGGCTCACCTGTCCTCCTGTCCTGATAAAGAAAGAGGAGCCCAAGAAAGGCTTATTGAACCTTTAATGAGCCTTGCGAAGTCTTATGAGGGTGGAAGAGAAAGTCATGCACGCATTATTGTTCAGTCCCTTTTCGAAGAGTATTTGTCAATTGAAGAATTATTTAGTGACAACATTCGGGTAACTTGATTCAAATGGTACAAATATGAAGTTTTTCTTTTCTGTTTTGTCATTTTGCTTGTCAGATTCATTTGGGATACATTTTTTCTTTTTTCTTCTTTCCAGGCTGATGTAATAGAGCGTCTTAGACTTCAATATAAGAAAGATCTGTTGAAGATTGTGGACATCGTGCTTTCTCATCAGGTAATAAATTCATGACATGCTTAGTCGTGTTCCAGTTTTTTGAATCTTCTTATTTATTTATTTATTTCAAGTCTTAATGAAAGTATCTTACGTTAGAACTTTGTAATTTTTGGATTGCAGGGTGTCAAGAGTAAGAATAAGCTGATACTACGACTCATGGAACAACTGGTTTATCCCAACCCTGCTGCATATAGGGATAAACTAATTAGGTTCTCTGCACTTAACCATACAAATTATTCTGAGGTTTGCCATTAAACTGAATTACTCGAATTGAGATGAACATTTATAGTTCTCATATGTGATTATTATTATTCTCCATTTAGTTCTTTAAAAATCTAATGTTAACTCTGTCATGGAGGATAGTCTCTAATATTCTTACTAATTTTGGGATCACAGTCTTCTTGAGCCCGTTTGGGAAGTGTATTTGAACCATGATTTGGGTTTTGATTCAAATTCTTTGTGAGAGGAAAACACTGTAGCAGAATGTGTACCAAACAACTCCCTCGAGCCTGTTTGGGAAGTGTATTTGAACCATGATTTGGGTTTTGATTCAAATTCTTTGTGAGAGGAAAACACTGTAGCAGAATGTGTACCAAACAACCCCCTCATGTTCTCTTGCAGATATCATCTTTGTTTTGTTTTGTTTTTGTTTTGTTTTTTGTTTTTTGTTTTTTTGTTTTTTTCTTTTTCCCTTTCCCTACAAGCTATAGCCTTATTAATGTCACAAACAAGTTCTGATGTCGGTATCTTTTGCAGTTGGCACTGAAGGCAAGTCAGCTGCTAGAGCAAACCAAATTGAGTGAACTTCGTTCAAACATCGCGAGAAGTCTTTCAGAATTAGAGATGTTTACTGAGGATGGTGAAAGCATGGATACTCCCAAAAGGAAAAGTGCCATCAATGAACGAATGGAGGATCTTGTAAGTGCTCCTCTGGCAGTTGAAGATGCCCTTGTAGGTCTGTTTGATCATACTGATCACACCCTGCAGAGGCGGGTTGTGGAGACTTACGTTCGTAGATTATATCAGGTATCATGGACTGAACCCTTGTATTTTTATCTGTATTTTATTTTTATTTTTAAAGATAGTTCCACACTAACTTTATATGTTTCATCAGCCCTATCTGGTAAAGGGAAGTGTTAGAATGCAGTGGCACAGATCTGGCCTCATTGCCTCGTGGGAGTTCTTGGAAGAGCATATTGAGAGAAAATATGAGAGTCAAGTTGAAGCATCTGATAAACCGTTGGTTGAAAAACACAGTGAGAGAAAATGGGGAGTCATGGTGATAATCAAATCTCTCCAATTCTTACCAGCAATTATTAGTGCTGCACTGAGGGAAACAGCTCACGCCCTCAATGACACAACTCCAAATGAATCTCTTCAACCAGAAAGCTACGGGAATATGATGCATATTGCATTAGTTGGTATCAACAATCAGATGAGTCTACTCCAGGATAGGTATTGTATCCGCCATTTCTGTTTGTATTCAAAGATGGAACTGTGAGATAATCAAACGCTTGCCGTAACATTGGAGCTTTATAACCATATATACTGTAAAAACTTTATAATTTCATGGACTTGCAAATTATTCGAAAACACGAGTATTCCTGCTCATACTGATCTGAGTTCCTATAGAATCTAAATCCCAAGGAGTATCTCAACAATATAGAGTTTTCTACATTATCTTAAAAAATTTATCCCTAATATACGAGAATCTGATTGTTGATCAGACAGTAAACCTACGAGTGTAATGTTCTGACCAACATTGTCGTTTAATGCTTTGCAGTGGTGATGAAGATCAGGCCCAAGAGAGAATTAACAAGTTAGCAAAAATAGTTAAAGAGAAAGAAGTGGCCTCCAGTCTCCGCGGTGCAGGTGTTGGGGTGATTAGTTGTATCATACAGAGGGATGAAGGGCGGACCCCTATGAGGCACTCCTTTCATTGGTCTTCGGAAAAGCTCTATTATGAGGAAGAGCCTCTATTACGTCATTTGGAACCTCCACTGTCCATTTATCTTGAATTGGTTAGTTATTTCTAGCAAAAGTTGTTTTTTTTTTTTTTGTTTTTTTTTTTTTTAAGTGGATTGTTGAACTGAAGTTCATTGACATGAATTTTTCATTTTATTTATATCCAGGACAAGCTTAAAGGTTATGAGAACATTCGGTATACCCCATCCAGGGACCGTCAATGGCACTTGTACACTGTTGCAGACAAACCTCTACCAACACAAAGGATGTTTCTTAGAACACTCGTTAGACAGCCCACAACAAATGAAGGGTTTACTGCCTATCAAGGGCTAGACATGGAAGCGACACGTAACCAGTGGGCTCTTCCTTTTACTTCAAAGGGCATTTTGAGGTCCTTAATGACTGCAATGGAGGAATTAGAACTCAATGCACACAACACTACCCTCAAATCTGACCATGCTCATATGTACCTTTATATCCTACGTGAGCAACGAATAGAGGATCTTGTGCCTTACCCCAAGTAATTATCTCTATATTTTTCTTCTACCCCCTTGACTTGAATAAGACGGTGAATTTTTAAGTAACATACCTCTCAATATATTGTGGCAGGAGAGTTGATGTAGATGCAAGCCTAGAAGAAACTGCTGTTGAAGCGATTTTGGAAGAACTGGCATGCCAAATTCATGTATCAGTCGGTGTAAGGATGCACAGATTAGGTGTTTGTGAGTGGGAAGTGAAGCTTTGGATTGCATCTTCTGGACAGGCAAATGGTGCTTGGCGAGTTGTAGTAACAAACGTGACTGGTCATACATGCACTGTACATGTAAGTTTGTGTACTTCACATTTATGCAATGAAATGTTTCCACCTTGCAACATCTTTGAACTTGGTCTTTTATGAGGTACCTCTGCTTTCGGACAAACGTGATTCTGAGCCATAGCTGTTGTCACCTGATCATTTAGAAATGACTTAAAAAATTATGTGATTAGAGAGGTCTACACTAGTCAGTAGAAGAAAACTAGCGAGTAGCAATAAGAAAAAACAGAATCCCGCATTTCTTATTCTTTGATTTTGACGATGGTCCCAAATTAATTGGTATTCTGGCAGGCAACAAATACAGAATATACCCAATTGTGTCATATAGTAGATATTAGTAAACAGCCTATAGTAATATGATATTGTTATTCTGCCTAGATCCATGATGGATTATAATTGTAATATGTTTGCATAAAATTCAGATATACCGAGAACTTGAGGACACCAGCCAACACAAAGTGGTGTACAGTTCAATCTCTACACGGGGTCCTCTGCATGGTGTGCCAGTGAATGCACAGTATCAGCCTTTGGGAGGTCTTGACCGCAAACGTCTTGTGGCCAGGAAGAGCAACACCACTTACTGCTATGATTTTCCTCTGGTAAGCACTTTGCTAAAGATACTGGTGTCTCTCTCTCTCCCTCTCCCCCCTCTCTTTATCTTTCTATAAACATTGAAACATTTGGATGTTGCTTGTAGGCATTTGAGACGGCCTTGGAACAATCATGGGCATCTCAATTCCCCAGTATCAAAAAACCCAAAGACAAACCTATTCTCAAAGTCACGGAACTCATATTTGCTGACCAGAAAGGTACCTGGGGCACTCCTCTTGTTGCTGCAGAGCGTGCACCTGGTCTCAATGATGTTGGTATGGTTGCTTGGGTTATGGAGATGTCAACTCCCGAGTTCCGTTCTGGAAGGTCAATTTTGATTGTTTCGAATGATGTGACCTATAAAGCCGGGTCTTTTGGCCCAAGAGAGGATGCTTTCTTCCTTGCTGTAACTGATCTTGCTTGTGCGAAGAAACTGCCGTTGATTTACTTGGCAGCAAACTCTGGTGCCCGTCTCGGTGTAGCTGATGAAATCAAATCCTGTTTCAAAGTTGGTTGGTCTGATGAACTAAGCCCTGAGCGTGGTTTCCAGTATGTATATTTAACCCCTGAGGATTATGCTCGCATTGGATCGTCTGTGATAGCACACGAGTTAAAGCTAGCAAGTGGAGAAATCAGATGGGTTATAGATACAATTGTTGGGAAAGATGACGGTTTAGGGGTTGAGAACTTGTCAGGAAGTGGGGCCATTGCCAGTGCATATTCAAGGGCATATAAGGAAACCTTTACCTTGACTTATGTGACTGGAAGAACCGTTGGAATAGGTGCTTATCTTGCTCGACTAGGGATGCGGTGCATACAGAGGCTTGATCAGCCCATTATTCTAACTGGTTTCTCGGCTTTGAACAAACTTCTTGGGCGGGAGGTGTACAGCTCCCACATGCAACTTGGTGGACCTAAAATTATGGCAACTAATGGGGTCGTCCATCTGACAGTTTCTGATGATCTTGAAGGCATATCTGCTATTTTGAAATGGCTTAGCTATGTTCCTCCTTATGTAGGTGGTCCCCTTCCCATTTCACATTCCTTGGATCCTCCAGAAAGGCTTGTTGAGTACTTCCCTGAAAACTCTTGTGATCCCCGTGCTGCCATTTCTGGCGCTTTGGATGGCAATGGAAAGTGGTTGGGAGGTATTTTTGATAAGGATAGCTTTGTGGAGACACTAGAAGGCTGGGCAAGAACTGTTGTTACAGGAAGAGCGAAGCTCGGAGGAATACCTGTAGGAATAGTTGCTGTCGAGACACAGACAGTGATGCAAGTTATACCTGCTGATCCGGGTCAACTTGATTCCCACGAGAGGGTTGTTCCCCAGGCTGGACAAGTATGGTTTCCTGATTCAGCAACTAAGACAGCACAAGCACTGTTAGATTTCAACAGAGAAGAGCTCCCACTTTTCATTCTTGCCAACTGGAGAGGATTTTCAGGTGGGCAGAGGGACCTTTTTGAAGGGATCCTTCAGGCTGGTTCAACCATTGTTGAAAACCTCAGGACATACAACCAACCAGTGTTCGTATACATCCCCATGATGGGCGAGCTTCGTGGTGGGGCATGGGTGGTCGTTGACAGTCGAATTAATTCAGACCATATTGAAATGTACGCCGATCAAACTGCTAAGGGTAATGTCCTTGAGCCAGAAGGGATGATTGAGATCAAATTTAGGACGAGGGAGCTACTTGAGTGCATGGGCAGGCTTGACCAACAGCTGATCAATCTGAAGGCAAAACTTCAGGAAGCCAGGAGCAGTGGCACACACGGGCTGATTGAATCCCTACAACAGCAGATAAAAACCCGTGAAAAGCAGCTTTTGCCTGTGTACATTCAGATAGCCACAAAATTCGCAGAACTGCACGACACCTCCCTGAGGATGGCTGCTAAAGGTGTAATTAGAGAAGTTCTTGAGTGGGGCAACTCTCGGCCTTTCTTCTATAAGAGACTGCTGCGGAGAATTGCAGAGGAGTCGTTGATCAAGACAGTAAGAGAGGCTGCCGGAAACCAGCTGCCACATAAGTCCGCAAGGGACTTGATCATTAGTTGGTTTTCAGATTCCGTTGTTTCGAGAGGCAGAGAAGATGCTTGGTTGGATGATGAGGCTTTCTTTAGATGGAAGGGTGATCCACAGAATTACGAGGATAAACTAAAGGAACTGCGGGTCCAAAAGGTACTGCTTCAGTTATCAAACATTGGCACCTCAACTTCAGATTTGCAAGTTCTACCTCAAGGTCTTGCTGCCCTTCTAAGCAAGGTAAATCATCATCTCTTATTTTCAAGCATGTTTTCTTAAATAGAAAAGTGTAATGCAATTATTAACTAGTGAAATAACTAATATTGATTATTTAGCATTTTCTGCTTTGATTATGGATTTAATTTCTTTTGTAATCTGATGCAGGTGGACGCCAACAGCCGTTCACAATTGATTGAAGAACTACGGAAGGTGCTCAATTAGTTTGGTGAAACTGGTGCTTGCGCCTTGATAAACGTATTATTTTTTCTTCATCTTCCTCGCACTAGATTTTACAAGGGAAAGGCATTTTGCCTGCCATATGGATTATTGATTAGAAAACGCTTCGAGTCTTGGAAGCCGATGATCCTATATGGACTGGTTTCCGTCTCTCCCCAAAATGTAAATTTTATTTTTATTTTGTTCTTTTTTTGGGAGTAAAAATAAAGAGGTATATTTGTAATGTATGAGCGATTCAGTTACGAGAGTTCGAACCATGTAATTTGTTGATCATGCAAATTTCCTGTTGGTCAAGCATGAAGTTCTGCCTGTATCAGCTTCATGTGTGCCGGTATTTTATTCGTAATTACTTGATTAACCATAGACAAAATGGATTGACGATTTGGAATAACAATCTATCAATTATTCAGGTTTCATGTAGCTATTGGTCTATTGATAAGAAATATTAGCTTGAATCCGAAAGACCTATACATCAGAATACAAAAATCCAAGTAGATTACACTTCTACGTTTGGGTATCAACGATTCTAGTTGAAGCTTCATAGTTCATAGGATTCATGGTTCACAAGCTTCATTCTGCTCCGACTTTTTCAAGTTTGTCAGATAAACTTCACAACTAAGCAACTATTTCAAGGGCTGTTCATGTATAACTACTCCAAGCTTGGGTCTGAAATCATTTGCATTTGGAAGGAGAAATGCGAAATTATATGCAAGGTGCAAGATATCTCTCACATGAACTTGTTCTCGACCAGGGTCTTCAATTCCTCGAGTTTCTGAATGATCTTTGGATTCATCAGGTCTCTAGCTTCTCGAATGAGAGTGCCTTCACTGCTGGAATGATAAGCATCCACGATAATCTTAATCCAGGTGTGAAGCTTCTCTGGTGTCCTATAAGAACATCAAAAGGAAATACATATGTATAAAAGTAGAATCAAACAAGTGAAGAGCTTAGAAAAGATAGCTGTTTGTTCTATAACTTCGATATCATCAACATATAAAATTGGAACCTAGACTTAATAAGTTAAGTGCCGATACTCAAAAGACATACGTGTAGAGACAATCAACATCTTTTCCTTCAAGTTCTTCTCCTGGAGTAAAAGCGTCATTTAGCACGCTCAGTCTCTCATCAGGATCCACAATTGTGAGAATATATTTCAATATTCGAATTTCTTTTGGCATAAGCCTCTGGAGATTGCCTCTAGCAGTCAAGTATAAGTGATATAACACGTCTTTAACCTACCCAGAGGAGAAAAAAGAAAACAATTATTAGCAGTATTTCAACACAAGTAAATGAAATTTATTTAGGAAAATTCTAGGACCTCCTGTGATCACAAAAAGCTGAGTTAGGCAATTGTTTATCAAAATACAACAGATTTGATGGGCAAAGATTTTAATGTCAGATGGAGATGGGCTTCTTGAGCAAAGATATTGGCTACCTCGTCTTTCACCATGTTCGACTCCTTAGCAGCTGACCAAGCTTTCGTGAGCATCAACACCAATGCCGAGTCTAGTTGGTTTTTCTCAGCTAAATTGTCTATCTTCCTACAAGCAGCATCTAAAGAAGGAGAGCTGATGATATCTTGTAATTTCAACTCTGCAGTATTTAGTGCTTCAGCGCTTTCACTTGCAGCATCATAAGCTTGAACGGCAGCCAAGCATGTATTCCCAAGTTTTGCCAAAGCTAGTTGTACAGAAACAAACTAGTTTGTCGACTATGTAATAGTTCAAAAGAGATGCTGCATTTCTAAAATTGCCATTAAATTGGATCAACATAACCCCAATTGCATGGCACATATAGGCGAGTATGTGGTGTTGGTCTCCAATCAAAGGGACATCTTTAGCAAACTTCAAGCCATCACAAAAAAAAAAAAAAAAAAAGGTTCCAGCTCACCATTTTGCTCTGTTGGATTGTCGTAGTAGGATTCAGCTACAGTGTGAAGATGAACAAAAAATTCTTTTGTGAAATCTTTGCGACGCCTGGCAACAATTTCACTTATTTCTGAAGGTGCTCCTTTTATTACTTCAAGAAGTTCATTATGTCTCTGCACATCCTCATCAATCTACAGAAGAGAAGTTATATTCCTGCAGTAGAAAATCAGAGCAAATTCAAATGACAGAGGAAGCAAACAATAGCGAGATCCACCTCTTTTAGTTTCCGTCCAAGCCTAAGTAGTTTATGCTTCATCCCAGGATCATCCTCACTATCTGCTCGCTCCTGACACCTTTTATAGAAATGGGGCCGGATATTGTCCCATTCCTTGCTGAAAGCTAACAATCTTCGCCAATCAGTTGGAGTAGGCTTGTCAACCATGAAAACCCCAATTAGCTTGTCGCATACTTTGTTCATTTTTTGGTCATCCAAGGACCCAACATTATCTCTCTCATCTCTATTTTCACCATTTGTGCCAGATTTTTCACTCAAAGAGGGATCATCAGAATCTGACACCCTTTCTTTGCTATAATTACTCGGCGCTGCTGCTGTATCACCAACAACAGCAGCAAGAAGAAAGGATCGTGAACATCGCAGCTTAACAGGTTTAGCCAACAAATGACAGCCTAGCATTACACAACAGTTATTAGTTAGGTGAAAAAGACGTTCAACAAACTTCTGCAAATCTATAAGAAGGAAACTATAAGTATAGTGCAACAAATCAACTATTTCTCTGAGATATTTCAATTAAGATAAATAATCACGTTCCTTAGCTTCTCTCTCATGGTATATTTCTTTTTTTCCCTAAATTATAAAAAGTATTTCATATCATTCGATCCAAAGGCATACACATACTTTACCGCAGCATTTAACCAATAAAATAAATAAAACCTGAAATATCACTTATCACTCGATTCACCTGATTTAATTTCAATAGTTTTCTTTAACCTGATTATAAGTAAACAAAATATATGCATTAGTTCATGGAATTACCCTCAGCCAAAAACATAATCACTCTGAAATTAGCTCTTAACACCTATAGCAATTTTTCCAAGACCTCAGCTTTTCAGTTTTCTTTGAATATGTCTATTTAGATAAGCGCTCCTCAACCCCAAAATTTACAGACTAGAATAATATGTGTGTGTGCGCGCGCGCTATATACACTAGCAATACTTGGAAGAAAATGACAGAAAACAGAAATGAAGTTCAAATTCTGTAGTTATCAGATTAAAAAGCAAGTAGATATTTCTATACCGGAGATTTGTAGATAGATACCTTTGAAGGTTATAGGGGAGAAATAACCATTTGGAGCTGAATTCGAATTCGCAAAGCAAGAAAAAGAAGAAACGCGAACTCTGAAAGCAGTTTTAGGGGCTCCTATTGAGAAGGAACAACGCGACGACGGCCGGAGAGTCGCCGAAGAAACCTCCATGTTTTTCCACGTTTTTCTCAGTCACTTCTCTTCTACAAAATTCTCTCTCTCGGTTTTAACTTAAAAATGTTCCCACACTAAACTAATATGTATAGATCTGTTCGGTTCAGCGAGTTTTGTTTCGGTATGTTTTCCGCATTCTGCCAAAGAGATTGCGCCACGTAATATGTCGACCTTTGTTCTAATTCCGTACAAGGGCAAGACGGTCTTTTCAACCCCGTGTTTGTACCAGTATCAAAACTCAAATATTTATGTCCACCTAGAGCTTCTGAAGTTAGATAGTTTAATTGTTTTCTTCTTTCTGTTTACTTTTTTTCGTATAAATTTTTGTTCTGAAACGGGCAATGCTTTCTCCGACATTCTTGTCACCTCGTATAAGTTTCAATCTTTCTCAGCCACCACCTCTTTTTCCTCTTCAACGAAACAAATTAACGACAACAACTAACCATAAACAAGTGAACACAAAAAATTCTCGTTGCTTTTCTCGCGGAAACAATCCGTCTTCTTCAGACAATTTTCCGAGTTTCGAGGATTTCTCGAACTTCCTAGAAAATCCAGATTCTGAATCGCCAGCTGATCAGTCATTTAGCCAAAGCCTCTGTCCTTTTCTGCTTGCGTTTTGGCTCCGGTCGAGTCGAACTCTAAAAGATGTCAAAAGGGTCCATGCGATTGTTCTGAGGCGACTGAGAAACCCGGATGCTTATGTATATAACAACTTGATTTGTGTTTATTTTAGATTTGAGAAGTTAAATGAAGCCCGCAATGTGTTCGACAAAATGTCTCTTAGAAATGTTGTTACTTGGACTGCAGTTATTAATGGGTACCTGAGCTTTGGTTTTGATGATGAAGCGTTGAGCTTGTTTAGTGATTATGTCGAAAGCGGGGTTCGGCCTAACGGGAAGATGTTCGTGTGTGTCTTGAATCTCTGCAGTAAGAGGAAGGATTTTGAGCTTGGGAGACAAATTCATGCAGGTGTAGTGAAAGGCAGATGGAGTAACATGATTGTGGAAAGTTCCATTGTGAAATTCTATGCAAAATGCGGAGATATGTTGAGCGCTTTTCGTAAATTTGATCAGATGTTGAAGCGGGATGTAGTTTGTTGGACAACTATGATCACTGCTTGTTCCCAACAAGGGAAGGGAAAGGAGGCTTTTTCTCTTTTCTCCCGGATGTTAAACGAGGGATTTTCTCCGAATGAGTTTACAGTTTGTGGTGTCTTAAAGGCTTGCAGTGAAGAGAAGGAACTGAACTTTGGGAGACAACTACATGGAGCCATAGTTAAGAAAATGTACAAGAATGATGTTTTCATAGGAACTTCCCTAGTGGATATGTATGCAAAATGTGGGGAGATTTTAGACTCGAGAAATGTCTTCAACAAAATGAGGCATAGAAATACGGTCACATGGACATCTATTATAGCAGGATATGCTCGGAAGGGGCTCGGTCACGAGGCTTTAAAGCTTTTCCGAGTGATGAAGAAGCGGAATATATTGACAAATAACTTAACCATTGTAAGCATTCTCAGAGCCTGCGGTTTGATCAGAGAGTCGCTTATAGGGAGGGAAGTGCACGCACAGATAATCAAGAATTCTATAGAAACTAATCTGTACTTGGGTAGTACACTGGTGTGGTTCTACTGCAGATGTGATGAATACTCCAACGCCACAAAGGCCCTCCTACAAATGCCTCTTAGAGACGTTTTCTCATGGACAGCTCTAATTTCGGGTTGTGCACATCTGGGTCATGAAACCGAAGCTCTCGAATTTTTAAAAGACATGATGGAGGAAGGAGTGGAGCCCAACTCTTTTACTTACTCGTCAGCCTTAAAGGCGTGCGCTAGGCTGGAAGCCATTCTTCACGGGAGATTGATTCACTCCTCTGCAAACAAAACTTCTTCGATGTCCAATGTGTTTGTGGGCAGTGCGTTGATTTACATGTACGCGAAATGCGGATACGTGGCTGAGGCACTTCAGGTCTTTGACAGCATGCCAGAGAGGAATTTGGTCGCCTGGAAGTCTATGATCGTGGGGTATGCGAGGAACGGGCTATGCCGAGAGGCTTTGAGGCTCATGTATCGAATGCAAGCAGAAGGTTTTCAGGTCGATGATTACATCCTTACGACGGTTCTTACGGCATGCGGAGACATCGAGTTGGATATGAACCACTCATCCGCGTGTAGGTTGCAATCTAGTTGACAAATGATCAGCTTTAGCAGGCCTCCGTTCAGAATCTTCCTGCTAGGATGATCAATTCTTACAAGAATTCTTGACATATTATTATTAACTTTGCATTGTAATATAAGTGTAAAATTGTTTGTTCTAGTGGTGAATGGGAATCCATGATAGTCGTTTTTTTTTTCTTTTTCTTAATTCTTGTTAATCAATAGAGAGAGGAAGACAATTTTCTAGCGTCCAAAAAGACCAATCAAGAGTGTTACAATTATTAGAGGCACATGACACATTTTATTCAGATAGAAAAGGACGATAGCTCAGCACCAAAGAAATGCAAAAAAAAAAAAAAAAAAAGCTAAACTTTTAGAACAAGAGTTCCAAAAGCAACATAACATAGAATCAACTTGGAAGCAGCATTTAAAGTCGCCATTTTGTTTGGTCATTTCTTCATCTTGTGCTTGAGCTTTTCCTTCTCTCGTCTTTTGAGTTCTTGTTGTTTCTTCTTCTCCTCCTCTTTTTTCCTCCTCATCTCTTCTTGCGCCTGCCTGTTCTTCTCCTTCTCCTTCTCTTTCTTCTCTCTTTCCTTTTTCTTTTCTCTTTCCTTTTTCTTTTCTCTCTCTCTCTTTTCTTTCTCCTTCAATTCTTCCTTCGTCAATTTGCTTGCAATTGTGAAGCACATTCGGAGTTTCTTTATCTCAGTATGGAAAGAAGAAAGAAGAAGAAGAAGGAATATATACACATGTATAATGCGTTTTCTGTATTCTTCGTGTTGGATTTGAGTGAACAAAGATCCAAAGCCGTCTAGTGTATTGATTGCCGTCCCTTTTTCTTAGAGTCCTTTGCTTTACGTGTTGGCATTTCCTTTATTCTGTTTGCAGTATCACCATACGGCCTTTCATGCTCTGGTTATGTCTCTTTTGGTTTTCTTTTCCTTTAATTATTTAGTAGAATTATGAAATCATCGAAGGAACCAAGATTCAAAAAAAAAAAAAAAAACAAAAAAAAAAAAACAAACCATATAGCATATAAAAATAACTATGGATCTCACATGCCGGATGAACCTCACTACAATTCCATTATAAGCTAATCTTGCATCTTAGTTTGCACCATGTATGGTTAATATATATATTTTTGTAACACTAAAAAAAGTATTTGTGAATAATACTTATTTTTATTATTCAACATTTGTATCATTGTCACGTCAATAATTACCGCAAGTAATTATAAATTTATCATGACATTTGATAATTACATGATTAGTAGAATAATGATATGGCAGTAACACATATTTGCTGACATGAGTCACCAAGCATCTCAATATGGAACAAAAGAAAAACTGGAGTTTACAAAAGAAACAAAATTGTGGCTCTTTACGTTATATTATCACATTGGCATGCTATCAAAATTGATCATTTACCGATACAGAACTTGCTAAAAATGTTGGACAAGACTTCTTCAGAAATGTCTTCTCCACTTATCTGCCCAAGTGCCAAAGCCGCTTCTCTCAGATCTATTGTCCAAAAATCTAAAGGCATTTGATCTTCAATCGACAATTTTAACCTTACAAAAGCTTCCTTGGTTCGAACAAGCTGCTCACATTGTCTCTGAATATTCATCAACAACAATAACACAAATTTCAGTTACAACCAAAACAAAAGTTTGGAACGTTGTAAAATATGAACCAAAACTCAACACTCTTTGTCCTAAAACATCGGTCTGGATAATTGGATCCAAAATCGAGATCACGTGTAGAAGGTCTGTGATAAGCCTCCAATACGTTTTACGTATGCTAGGCGTGCCAAGCACGCGAGTTAAGCTGCTGAGGAGTGTTACAAGGGGCTGGGAGTTTGCTATCAGAATATTTTAGTCGTTATTGTAGTGTTTCATTCGCTGTTAGTACTCGAGGTTATGAGCCAAGGGTACAAGTGTCTTTTTCTGTCTTGTGTGTAATAAAAGAGGGGAGAGTGTGGTGGTGTGGATTCCGTAATTGGGAAAGTGTTGATCTAGGGGAGAGAAGCTGAACCTCTCAAAAGTTCAGCAACCTGTATCGGTGCTTGGAAGATTCCAGTATCAATACACTATCAATTCTACTCTGTTTCCTTCTCTTTTCTTGTGTTTGCTAAATTTCCTTAAGTGCTCTTAGCAGTCTGCTTACCTGGTTCACAGTCCATCTACGACCCCCTTTAAGGACTTTGTCGAGACCAACTAACTCCGATATTGCCATCTCCAGCTCTGGTATTCCTTGTCCAGTGACAGCACACATTAAAACATGCTTACTGAAAATGTTTCCATCAACGCCAATCTGTTCGATACTAGGGAAAGATTTAGCACAATCTATTTTGTTTATGACAAGGACCACTGGAGAGGAAGATCCTGTCAATTTCTGTAATGCAAAACAGAAAACAACATAAATGCATACTCTAGAAGGTAATAAGTTAAAAAGGGGTAGGTACGTTACTTAGTTTGGTTGCCAAATATACAAACCTTGTTGGATTGAATCCTGTTTAATAGTCTGGAGTCTTCTGAAGTCCACCCATCAAGAGCACTTACTGTCATTATAATCACATCGGCACCCAAAGCAGCCGCTTCAGACCTCTCCACGCCTGTAAAAATAAATGGTCAAGAAGACATTATGCAAATGGAGAGGAGTCCAATACAAACCTATATTAACGATAATCATAGGAAGTGATTGATTTTTGTTGGAACTCTAAAACTTCTTTAGATTAAAGAAAAGCTTTTGAGGAAAAGAAATTGCCGAGGTGAACTTGATTTCTTCTTCTTTGCGTTACGATCAAATACAAGTTTGACATGTCAAGATTATGCAAAGAGGATGGGTTTACCAATCTTCTCCACTATGTCATCAGTTTCCCTAATGCCTGCTGGAATGCCATTGACACTAACACTTGCCTCGACTACATCACGAGTGGTCCCAGCAATATTTGTTACGATTGCTCTATCACTCTGCACGCTAATAGAGAATTACGACATTCAATAAGATGTTACACTTTCAATAATTGTTAAAAAATAATAATAAATAATAATAAGAAAAACACTAGAACCACATCAAGCACAAACAAAAGCTCTCATTTTTATATCTTCCTTTTATAATATCAGATACAAAAGGTAATGAAAAAGGTAAACAAAGTAAGTATTGCAAGAAAACAAACAGTGGATTTCTTATTCTAAAATATACGAAGAAAAGCTTTTGCATAACATACTTTGCTCCATGCATTAAGAAGGCTTGACTTTCCAACATTAGGTCGACCCACAATTGCTATCTGCAGAATTTTCAACGAAGAGAACCACAAATCAGAAGCAAGAACAAAAAAAGACTGCAAACGGAATCCGAATGGAACGAATTTGAAAAGACACAATGAACCATGAAAAGAATGAAATAGTCAACAAGGAAAAACTATGTCATACATGTTGAATAAAATAGTCATTGTCGGCAGATCAAATCAATCTGATTTGATCGGATTTTACTGGAATAAATCAATCTAGAAGATTTTGAATTAATTTGAAATATTCAAATCTTCCCTTATTGGTTATCCAATTATTTAGGATTTTATTCAATAAAATCTGATTCGATTGTTAGGAAGATTTTCTTTATTCTGTTAGTCAGCCTACTTTGGCTGCCTATTTAAGTGTATTTCCGCCACAGTGAATAAAATAATTGCAGATTATCTCTTTCAAATCTAATTTCATGGTATCAGAGCCACTCTCTGAACCCTAATTTCTCTGCCAACCGTAATGCCAAAATACGGAATGGCAGGCGGGAAAGAAACCTCATCGTCCGAGGTTACCTCTGCTTCATCAGGCACTGTCATTCCGACTTCAACTAATGGATTTGAAGCCCCCTTTCAGCAAATCACGAGTCACAAATTCAATGGACAGAATTTTGTCCAATGGTCATATTCTGTGATGATGTTCATAGAAGGGAAAGGAAAAGAAGACTATCTCACCGGTGATGCTGCACAACCGAATGAGAAGGATCCCAAGTTTAAAACTTGAAAAACAGAAAATAGTGTGGTTAGGTCATGTCTGATCAATTCCATGAATAACGAGATGGGAAAAAACTTCATGTATTATCAAACAGCAAAAGAGATGTGGGATGCCGTGAAGCGAAGTTATTCCAACAAGGAGAACACTTCAGAAATTTTCAAACTCAAAGGTCTTCTGAATGATCTTCGCCAAGGAGAACTCAGCGTAACGGAATACTTCAACACTCTATCACGCTACCGGCAGCAACTGGATATCTTTGACGAAACAGCATGGCACTGTGCTGAGGATCACAAGCGGTATAAGGAAATTTAGGAAAGAGATCGAGTTTACAAGCTTTTGCTTGGTCTTAATAAAAACCTAGATGATGTTCGTGGAAGGATCTTAAGTACTAAGCCTCTACCAGATGTTTGTCTAGTTTTTTCAAATATAAAGCAGGAAGAGAGCCGAAAACGATTGATGTTAGGAACTCCTAATGATGATGCTGCAATCTCAAACTCCAATGATGCTGGAATCTCAACCACGGATGCCTCTGCTTTAGCCACCCGGGGACCACAATCCAACAGAGAAGGAACCGGCCTTGGTGTGATCATTGCAAGCGAACTGGACACGCCAAAGATACTTGCTTGAAAATCCATGGAAAACCAGCAAACTGGACTCCTCGAAAGCAGAATGAAGGAAGAGGCTTCCAAGTCTCCCAAGATAAACATGGAATGGATGCTCCCACACACAACAACAGCATTCAGACTCTTCGATTGCACTGAATAAGGAGCAGCTAGAGCAACTTTACCGTTTTCTCACTCCAACACCAGCACCATCTAAGCTAATTTCCAATGTAGGATTGTGCACCATGACACACAATGGTAACCATTCAGCATTGCTCTCTTCACTTCATACCTAGGAACCGTGGATCATTGATTCCAGTGCCTCTGACCACATGACAGGTTGTTCTAAACATTTTTCCTCCTCTACTCAGTGTTCTAGTACTGCTAAAATTAAGATTGCAGATGGATCTCTAGCTACTATTGCTGGAATAGGTTCAATACAAGTCTCAAAAAACCTTATTCTCCATTCCGTCCTACATGTTCTAGCCTTAAAATGCAATATGTTGTCCATTAGTAAACTCACACGTGACAATAACTATGTAGCTAATTTCCTTCCTTCCATGTGTCAATTTCAGGACCTATCATCGGGGAAGACGATTAGCAGTGCTAGAGCCTAGGAAACACATAAGAACTCTTGAATGCAAATGAAAAAGAGATGTAACTCCAGTTCCTTCGGAAATGGTAAGATCTTTGGTGCAAGAAGAAAGAGTTGATCCGTATCATCTTGACTTGGTTCTGATTTCTCTATTTTTTTTTTTAAGAATACCGAGTGAGAATTCAGAATCTAAGAGTTGACAAGCACTTGTGTCAGGAATGTCACCCGTTTCACTTTCTACTTATAGAGAAATAATGTTGTGGCATCATAGACTTGGCCACCCCAGTTTTTCATATTTGAAGTTTTTATTACCAACTCTATTTAGAAATAAAGATTCTATTTCATTTGCTTGTGATATTTGTCAACTTACTAAACATACTCGTGTTCCTTTCTCACCAAAGCCATATGCGCCCTCTATGCCTTTCTCCTTAATTCATAGTGATATATGGGGTCCATCAGGATAACAACCTTGAATGAAAAACGATGGTTCACATTTATTGATGACCATACACGAGTAACTTGGGTTTACTTGCTTAAAGAAAAATATAAAACTTGCCAAATTTTTCAAACCTTCCATAAAATGGTTCAAACTCAATTTCAGAAAAAAATTTCAATTTTAAGAACTGATAATGGTGGTGAATATTTCCAATCCATTTTGGGTAATTATCTTGACCATCATGGAATCGTTCACCAAAGTTCTTGTACTGATACACCACAACAAAATGGAGTTTCAAAAAGAAAATATTGACATCTATTGGAAGTGGCATGTGCCCTTATGTTCACTATGAATGTACCCAAATATCTGTGGGGTGATGCCATTTTAACCGCTGCCTTTCTCATCAATAGACTACCCAACCGCCCCTTCAAATTTAAATCCCCATTGTCTGTTCTTACAACTCAAGTTTCACACCTGAATATCCTCACCAATAACCTCCTCTCAAAACCTTTGGTTGCACTGCATTCGTCCATGTCCATTCCCAACACCGCTCCAAACTCGACCCCCGAGCCATAAATACTATATTCCTTGGCTATTCTCTAACAAAAAAGGGATATGATGTTTCTGCCCCAAAACAAAAAAATCCTTTGTTACCCAAGGTGTTACCTTCTTTGAAGAGATACCATATTTATTTCCACACTTCGCTTCAGGGGGAGAGTAGTGATAAAGAAGCTTATGTGAGGGAATGGGACACCACAATTGAAGAAACTTTGTTACCCACAGTTGAAGGAACTTCAACCCCACAATCAGCCACCATTGTCGAGATTCCAACTTCAGCCCAAACCGAAACAGAGCCTGAAGCTCCATAGCCATCTTCACAGCCACTACAACCATCTTCCCAGCCACTTTCACAGCCAACCCCGCAGCCATCTTCATTGCCAATTCCACAACCATCTCCTTCAGTTTCAAATCGGCAAGAACTGCAAATCTACTCTCGGAGGATAAATTTTCAAGGAAATAAACAACTCACAGGCACTACGGGCTGCCCTGAATCCAAACCTATGGTGGGTTATAGTCCTTCATCCTCAGGTAATCCCGAAACTCTCCATGATAGGCTAGATGATCCCATTGCTCTAAGAAAAGGTGTTAGGTCATGTACAAAGCACCCAATTTCCAAATTTGTGTCATATGATAACCTATCAACCTCGTTTCGTGCTTTCACAACAAACCTTTCTAGATTTGATGTTCCCAGGACGATTGAGGAAGCTCTAGTTGTGTCCCAGAATAGAAGTCTGTTGTGCTAGAAGAAATGCGTGCTCTTGAGAAAAATGAGACTTGGAGCCTAGTGGAACTACCACAAAACAAGAAAGTAGTGGGATGCAAGTGGGTGTTCACAATTAAAGTAAAACTAGATGGTTCAGTAGAGCGGTACAAAGCCCAATTGGTGGCAAAGGGCTTCATACAAACCTACAGGATAGACTACACAGAAACGTTTGCTCCAATTGCAAAGCTCAACACTGTTCGAGTTCTCTTGTCCTTAGCAGCAAATATGGATTGGCTTCTGTACCAACTTGATGTGAAGAATGCCTTCTTGAATGGAGAGTTAGAAGAAGAAGAATATATGAGTCTCCCACCTGGTTTCTATGAAGGTAAACGGGACAATACAGTGTGTAAGCTGAAGAAGTCGCTATATGGTCTAAAGCAATCACCCAGGACCTGGTTTGAAAGATTTTCCAAAGTAATCAAAGGTCATGGATAACAAGGACAATCAGATCATATTCTCTTCGTCAAACATTCAACAAACAACAAGGTTACAGTTTTGATTGTGTATGTGGACGACATAATATTGACTGGAGATGATTTCCAAGAGATGGAAGAAATAAAGAAGATTATGGCAAGGGAATTTGAGATCAAGGACCTGGGATTCTGTTAGGAAACCTAATTCTCACAGCTCAATATTCACACAGAAGAACAAGAATAGAAGGCAATCAGAGTAGATTTATTGATCATCACCAACACTAGCTCATAGAATTTTACAACCAAACGAAGAAAAACGTAAAGAAAGCTTAGGATTTATTGGAGTATTCGAGGACTCCGAAGAACTCCTAACTTTGATGGTATTCGAGAGACCACCGCTCTCCTTAATCTCAGTCTCCTAAAACTCTCAAAATCACAACATACCTCAAGTGAGCTACTCAGCCCTTTATTTATACTAATTCCTATTAACTCTACCAGCCCACTAACCAAACAAGTTCCCAAGTTAACGGATCCTAACATTACCCCCGCCCTAAAGAAACTCCTTGTCCTCAAGGTATTAAGTAATCGCAGCCGTGTGACTCCACTTCCTTCCAATCTTGATGAGCTTGGATCTTGGAATGTCGAACGGAATGATTCGTACAGAACTTGCTTCAAATGTTCTTGTTAACTTTATTTTTTCAACTACACTTTTGTTTGGAGCTGAAATTGAGAAACACTTTAAAGGCAGCGAAACTATGAAGCTCAGCCTCAAAATCATCCTTGAAGTAATGGAAGACCTTGTTGGTCAGCTCAAACAATTCATTTATAAGCGTTATCTTGTTGTTGTGCATGTTCCACCACGCCAGAGAATGCTGCCTTGTTGTTTGTCAGAACATCAATAATAGA